CCCCCAAGCCTTTTGTGGACAATGAAAAGCCTATTTAAAAGTAAATTAGTGTGGTGGCACCTGGGGTGGCCAATCAGATTTCAAGGGTGGCATGTGCTACCCCAGGCCACTCCCTGGACACGCCCCTGCTCAAGATCTCACTGGAGTTCACCGCATGCTAAGCAAAGTAACGGACCGGCCATCCGGACTTCCTTCTTTTTAAGCTGAGAACCGCCAAGCTAGATAAAATCTGTTGCATTTTACCAACCAAGCAACTGTTCCTTTCAGAATAAAAGCTGAACTCACTGACCCAAGGAGGGTCCCTTTTGACACTGTGAACCACCTGTCGCTTTTTACCTGGAGACAATCCAAAGACTAGTTTGTCATACTGCTAACGCTGTTCCATCGACTCCAGTACCAAAGGAGGGTCCGAGGACCTGGCGATCTGGATCTGTACGGAAGTCTCATTCTGAAGGGTATGTGTGGAGCGACAAAAATGGCGTCTCATGTGTTTATGAAACTCCTTCAAAGCTCTGATCATAGCTAGAAGCAAAACATCATTACATCATTCAGACTTGCTTCTCTGGATACGAGAGTTCTGATAATAACACCACTCACACACACCATCCATCTCACGTTTCATTCACCAGATCCATTCATCATTAGAGTTACAGTTAGTCTTATTTAAAATTGTTTAAATTGTTTAGTAATAAATCATCTTAAATATTTTAAAGGTCTGATTCTTCTCTTGTCTCTCAGTTAATACAAAGTGTTACAAAATCCCTGCAATAAAAAGTTCCAATCTTCTGGTTAAATAACTCAGCGGTCCGTAAGATTGATTTCATATTCACTTTGGAATCTCAATGTCTCACGGGTCCTAATTAGATGTAAATTAACTTCTTTTACAGCGCGTGACTCTCACCTGGGAGTCTGGGGATCAAATCCTACCCCGGCCCTCATTTCTCCACCTTGCCACATTTTCTTTACCCAATATTAGAGTAAATCAAAAGGATCCCATGGCTTCTTTGAATTGCAAGAAGTAACTTGTTGATCGCTCAGTAGCATCCAGAAATGGTCACTTTTTCCTCTACAGTTTGACCTCTTCAGTATCCAGTCAGATGGGGACATGAGTCTACATCTAGTGCCTTTAATCTGCTGGATCCTACTATTCTATCAGCTGGAGTCCAGGCAGGGTCCAAAATTAACACTCGCCACTCACCAAATGTGAGCAAATTGCTCCATTTGGCGAGTAAATTTTTTAGCTCTACCTGCCACATGGCGAGTAAATGTTTGCACCAAATTAGTTATGTTTATCAGTCATCTTCCATGGATTTCTGATACTCCTCCCGCCTGCATGCAACGTACACAAACGTACGCGAAACGTGAGCGCCGCATCCAACGTCATTTCCACCTATCCCATTCAATCAGTTTATCAAGTTAGCAGATAGCTTCGTGTTAAAACTAGCGGTGAAATGTGGCGGTTTTTAACGAGTCAGCCAGCCTTCCAAAAGAAAACTCGTCGAACTGGAAGAAAAACCACCAGGACCAGTAGCAACCAGAAGATTTTGTGAAAAGTGGCGAACTGGAGACGGCGGAGTCGTGAGACAATGGCTACATTATGATGGCCACGTAGCGTTGCTGCCTTTCACAGATAACTGGCCCTCGGCATTCTTCAAATATCCAAAAATGCCCATACTTCCGACTTTGTCTTCTTTGAGGGATAATAAATGTCCCGAGTGCTGCAGTCTCCTCCTGCTATTATTTCAGCTTTAGCTTAAAGAAAGTTTTGGTCGTAAACAACAAAGTGCGCATGTGCCGCCGGCAACTTCAGCAGATGATACGGTTGCTGGTAAGGGTCACCGCGCCTACGCCGCAGCCACGGTAATCCACCGAGATAATATATATTTTTAAAAACAGGACGGTTATTATTATTGTCTACTTTTTTACCGGGGTTTACTGCTACACCGGTTACCGTGACAACCCTAGCCCTGACACACCTTCAGATATTCTCATGGTGCAGCTGTGTTCTCCAGAGATCAAGAACTAGGACCCAAATGAGGCTGTAATGCTTTGGCACAAAGACGATGTCAGAAGCAGGAGGCCAGACTTCATGGACAGAGAAAACAAGGAGTCTGACTAGATTTCAATGAAAGAGACATAAAAACATCTCTAAAAATAAATAAATAAATAGTAAAAATGACAAAAGAGTTGTTTTTCTTATTAATTGATGTTTTAATTATTTTGTCACTCTGTTTGGAATCAACATAATATAGAATAACATGCTTAAGGTAGATCTAAATCATTTAGCATTTTGGCCGGTAAAAAATATGCTTGGCTGGTAGATTTTGATCATCTACCAGCCAACTTGGCCGGTGAGTAAAAAATTTAATTTCGGACCCTGAGTCCAGGCCTCTGCAGCTTTGAACACAGGATAACATACTGTCAACAAACTGTTCCCGTTTTAAGGCCATACGCTTCCTCTTATTGCTTCTACAGGATGAGTTAATTAATCATAGAATGAATGAACAATATGGTTACATGAAATGTTTTTATTAATCTGTGCTTAGATTAATAAGGATGAAATGAAATATATGACCCATATATTTAATCAGCGTACGTGACTGGACAAGCACACACTCACCATATGTCCATGACGCAAGTTAAAGTTCATGCCACTGCACATAGATATTTTCTTATTCACAAATCAGAGCATCCTGTATCTGGGAAAGGTGTGGTTCTGATGTTTGTTAACACCTCTTTACATGTCAAATTCTGGCTGGACATGTAATCATAATATGGCAGTTGTTAAAACAGGATCACTTGCTGAGTGATTCAGTTAGTTTTTGAGCCGAACTCCGGACTGGCCACTGGAGAAAAACTCTTTAACTACCGCACCTCTTGACAAGCTGTCAAACCTGTGACACGCTGCAGCGACACAGAAACTTGCTCCTTCAGAACAAAGCTGACACAGCCAAGACTCCTTCAGAGTCCATCTGTCTTAGTCGCAAACACCACCTGTTGTGACCTGGAGACAACTCGAAGACCGGTCTAGTGGTGCCACAGTTTCTCTTACGGACCTCGGTGCCTTGGAGTCCACGGACTTCGGCACATTCCGGATCTACCTGGGGGGTCTCTGAAAGAAAGGGTACGTAGGCACGACGGATTGCGTCTGATGCCGTTTTATTAGCAATCAACTTTCTAGTTTAATGCAGACCAAATTCAGTCACACTCAGAACTCCGCTTCTACAAATATGAGGGTTATGATAACATCACATTCACAGATCATCACCCCTCACATTCCATCCACTTATATTCTGAACTTATAATCCATCACATTCATCTAATTTATAACTTGTCTTGTTTTTAACTTGTTTAGAAAATAAATTTCTTACTTTTTATGAACTTGACTCTGTCTGAATGAATACGAAGTGTGTTATGATCACTGAAAAAGCAAAGAATCCTAATTCTTCTGATTAAACATTCAAAGATCAATCAGGTTGATATTCTATAATTATATAGAATATCACATCTTATTGGTCATAAGTAAAGGTAATATATTAAGCTTAAAATCAACATATTTACCCCTCTTACAGCTCCTTTTACTGGATAACACAATGCTGATGTTTGCCAGCCGGTGTCAAATTACGAATGGCGGCGCAGACTTGGCAACCCTTTGGGCTTATATGATTGGGACAGATTGCAAACAATGATTATATCCCCTTTTAAAAGGAGGAAAACTGACAACCCCCCGTCCGGCTGAAAAGGAAACCTATCTCAATGTAATATTCCTTCCAACATGGTTGAGTCAGACTGTTTTGTGATTATTTTGTTATTTTTAATTTCTTACTTATTGCGCCTTTAAAGTTGGTTTGCTGAGAGGCTTTAATATACTTGAAAGGACATGTTTAAGATGTCCCTCTTGATCAAGTTTGTGATGGTTTGAGTTCAGTTTTGTGGTATTTGTGGGAGTGGCTGCGCAGTTGAGCAGTGGTTAGAGCTGTTGCCTTGGAGCAAGAAGGTCCTGGGTTGGCTTCCCGGCCTGGGATCTTTCTGCATGGAGTTTGCATGTTCTCCCTGTCATGCGTGGGTTCTCTCCGGGTACTCTAGCTTCCTCCCACAGTCCAAAAACATGACTGTCAGATGGACTGATCTGCCTAGATTTTCCTTAGGTGTGTGATAGTTTGTCCTGTGTGTCTCTGTGTTGCCCTGCGATGGACTGGCTCTCTGTCCAGGGTGTAACCCCCCCCCCCCCCCCCCCCCCCCCCCCGAATCGATTCACAAAGGTCCAGAATCAATTCCAGGAATTCAAATATTTGGCATGTTACAGGTTTGAGATGCACTTTTGTATGTTTTCTTGGTCTTTGTTAGGAGAGTTAGTACTCCGTTTACTTTTGTGGTCCCATAAATTGGGATGATTCATTTTTTTAATATGCTGGGACTAGAATGTAATTTTTTTTCCCATACTCAGAAATTTGAGAAATTCTCATATTTATTTTCTAAGTTGAAGTTATTGATAAATGAGAGAAAACAATTCCCTTAGTAAGAAATCTGAGGCACTTTTTTAAACAGGTTGAGGACTCAAATGTTAAACTTGTTTCCACACATACTTGAAAAGTATTTGACCGTATTACTTTCAAAGCTACTGTTAGGTAACTATAGATTTGTTATATTTTACAAGGTAAGCAAAAATAAATTAGAGTCACGTTATTTTACCTTGTGAATTAGCTTTTTTGACCATGACCAGTTTAAAGTAAAATAAAAAAAATTCCCATAGCTTTAACTAACTTGTACAACAAAGTAGTTCATCCTGGAACTGACACTCTTTGTTAATGCTCTAATTTCCCTCTGGGATTAATAAAGTATTGATTGATTGATTGATTGATTGATTTAAATCACAAATCGATTCTGAATCGAATCGGCACCCTGAGAATCGGAATCGAATCAAATCGTGAGTTGCTCTGAGATTCACATCCCTAGTTGTTTGTGTTGAGGAATTCATCAGATTTTGTTACAAGACTTACTTGCGCAGGTTGTTGAGCACCATGATGTTGGCGTACATGTGGAAGAGGTAGTAGGTGTAGGGAGGGTTGTCATCTGTGGTCCACTCCTCAGGCTTCGGGCTTTTGTAGGAGAACATGTGGTCACTGTGTTTGGACTCGTCGTCCACGCTGTCGAATCCTGTCACCTGGAAGGCAACAAGAGCATCTCAGCTGTTATTAGTCCAGCACTGCTCTTTGAGTCTGTTGACTGTAAACATACGCACATATTTCAAGAATAACTGTAAAGATTTGTGCTTTTGAGGGTTGACTGTAGCCTCAAAAAGGGGGAGGAAAATGTTCTCCAGCATCTTGGCAAAGTTTGGGATCAGTTTTTTTGACCTGAAGATGTCGCTGCAACACACAACCATAAAATAAAAAAATTTAAATACCACACACACACACACACACACACACACACACACACACACACACACACACACACACACAGGGCTGATTTAGTAATGTAGTTCAGATTAAAACTGAATATTTGTCAATAAATGGTTCCACTTCATTTTTTATTTAGCATAACGTACTAGATCCTTGGAACTTGGATCATCCATCTCATGTTGGGCGAGTGGACCTTGTGCTGGATGAACCAGGTTGCTAGGCTCTCCCACTCGGACGCAGATCGGCCGTAGATGGACAGACGAGGCTCGGTGAACTGATAAGTGCTCTCCTCCAGTTCTGCAGCAACTTCCTGAAAGGGGCAACAGCACGACAGGAAGTTATTGGTAGATGAAACAGAATGACCCAGCACACCAACTGAGATTATTGATTTACAACACTACTTTACTGTATACAGTCATGTTATTAGTTCCGTCTCCTGCTCTGCACCTTGATGAGTCGGGCAAAGTACTCTCCTTTGATGTAGTTGTCCGTTTTCAGATAAATCTCTCTCAGCTCACTGGCTCCTACAGGATTGTACTTGGAGTTGAACTTGTCAAAGCGGTGGAACGTTTGTCTCCCCTGGGAGAGTCCAGAAAGAGTCATTCTTTCCTACTGGTAATGACACCGTCTTTTAAATTCAGAACAAAGCAACTCAGACTTTAAACACCATTTAGATTCACTTGTGTTTTATATCACATAATAAACATAGATCTGGTCCTCATCTGGTTAAATTATTCTAATCTAACCTTGAGTGAATACAAACAGAACGGTTTCCACTTAGTTGTTATTTACAAGCTAAAATGAAGTCAAAATGTAAAAGGATCCAACAGTTTGTTGGACCTCAATTAGCAGCAAGAACTCTCAATAGTTGTTTTCTGACTTTTTGAGGTTCTCGCTTGATTCTGGAGGAGTTCTGGCCCACCCATCACAGCATTTGAGCCAGGTTCTGGTCTAGACTTTAACCGGAGCATTTCAGCACCTTCGTCATTCTGTGTTTGGATCATGGTTTTGTTTTCTGACTCAGTTCTGTCACTGTGACTCTAGAAGACTTTGGTCTATAGGAGAGCCACAGGTGGACTCAGAGGCTGTAAGAAGCCCAAACCATCAGCCCTTCACCACCGTGTTGACAGATGGGATCATATGGTTTTGCTTTTATCTGGTAAATGGCCTGTTTTCATATAGGTCATTCTAGAGGCCTAGAACTCCCCAGGGGGCTTTATAACACAACAGTCAGTCACCCATTCACACACTGGGGGTGATAAGCTACATGTAGCCACCACTGCCCTGGGGCACACTGACAGAGGTGGAGTTGCCTTTTGCCTCCGTCCACCACCAGCAGGTAGGGAGGGTAAAGTGTCTTGCCCAAGGACACAACGAACCTGCAACCCTTTGGGGACAGGGTAATCTTTCAACTCCTCTGCCACCATTTTTTCCAATATGATGCTTTTCATTACAGGTATTGTTCTAGATATCTGGCATTTTATCTAGATGCAAACCTAAGTGGTGCCGCCATGTTGTTTTTGAGATAAGAGCTTTTCTCCTGCAACCCTTCCTAACAATCCAAACTTGCTCAGCCCATATGTGACTGTTATGTCATGACCTTATATCATACAAACATATGAGCGGTGGATTTTCTCTCACAGCATGTACATCCAGTGAATCTACGGTGAGGTCATAGGGGTCCATGTGAAGATTGTCAAAGACTTGTTTGAGGGTGATCTTCTGGCCTCCTTTCTCCAAGACCACGCGGTCCGCCTCTGTATGGTATGTGGTCTGTATAAACTTCAGCAGATGCTTCTGGTTCATGCAAGCTGCGGCATGTATGTGTGTGTCAACCTGTGTTAAAGAAATGATGACATCAATGACAGCTTAGTGGATAAAAACCTGATGCACAAAAATGGAGCATAGACACCAACCTTTCTGACATTGTAGAAGTCTCTGTGTGGGACACTTTTCAGCTCTTTCAGCTCTGCCATTTCATTCAGCATTTCATGCAGGTAGAATTTAGAAGCCAAGAACTTAAGCCGTCTGTGACAGTAGGTCTTTCTGTGAGGACATATGAGAGTGTCAAGCAGCAGGAAATGCTTCTCAGCCTGTAAAGCTGCATGATCACTTCTCAGGGTATGAAATGATTGGTTCTATCCGCTGAGATGTCGGTCTCATAATGGCAGTGCCTGTGAACTCACGTTGGGCCATCGGCTATCATTGCCAGAACATGGCTTAGGTCTATCGCAAAGGTCTCAAGGTCAGGATAGGGTAGGTTGAGGGGTCTGTCTTGTTTCAGGGCCTCTGCATCAGTATACACATGAACTATTCCATCCTTCATCTTTAGCTCAAAGTTCAGGTTTTCAGGAATTCCCTCCATGGAGAATGGATCCTCTCCTTCTTGAGGTGATGGCCAGATGTCTACGGTGATTGGAGAAGATGAAGAGAACAGTGTTTTAAAGCAGAATAGCAACATAATAATACTGGTTTGGGCCAAACAACCAGTTCTGATGATGACTGGAGCTCTTTCTCTGTATTTGTGAAAGGTGGCACAACAGTCAGTGTGCTGCTGTTCTGTCCTCGTTGTCGGTTCCATGTCAAAAGTACTTCTGTGGTGTTTCAGCACCACCCTTCCTCAACACTACCCAAAAACTCAGTTCTATTATAGTCTTTAGACATAGATCTCATCTTTGTGATTACATGAAATATTTACCAATAATAGAACAAACATTGTATTTGCTCTTTGACCTCAAATGCTTTGATAAAAATCACATCATCAGTGCTGTTTGAAGACGGACACTTCTGGATGTGTTTTGTTTATTATCAGGAGTCAAATAAAGTCTGAAATGGCAGCACCTAGAATGAGCTTCCTTTAAATATCAGACAGGCCTCCTCACTGTCTGATTTGTAATCACTGCTTAAAACTGTTTGGTTTTATTTTAATTATCCTGTTTTTGCTGGTTCTGTGTACAGCCCTTTGGTCCTGTGGGTGTTTTAGGTGCTATACAAATGTGGTATGGTATGGTATGGTATGGTATTATATGGTATGGTATGGTATGGTATGTCATGGTGTGCTATGCTATGTTATGTTATGTTATGTTATGTTATGTTATGCTATGCTATGCTATGCAGTGCTATGCATGGTATGATATGGCATGGCATGGCATGGCATGGTATGCTATGCTGTGTTGTGTTGTGTTGTGTTGTGTTATGTTATGTTATGTTATGCTATGCTATGCTATGCTAGGCTACGCTATGCTACACTGACTGATCTTTTCTCACACACACCTCATTCTAATAGCTGAGACATAGTTTATCTGCTGCCATACAACACCTGTCGTGATTACTGTTAAGCAGCTCTGTCACACGTTTAAAAATCCGTACTTGGCAGGACCTCATCCTCCTCGGACCACTTCACGTTGTCAGCATCACGAAGGAATCGAGCTGCTGTTCTCGGGAAGCGGTGGTATGCCAGCTTGGAGTATTTCTCTCGGATGCGAAGGGCATGAAGGAGATCCTTTGCTGCCTTTTCGTACTCACCCACTGTAATCTTGAAAGAGATATGCATTTAATAATATGTTGTTCAATGATAAAAGTATATTTTTAGGTTTCTACATGCCCCTGCACAGTAATCCCCACTGATGGTAACTCTCTGGAACTCTGGAAACAACTCCAAGGGGAAAAGATCAGATGTTCCTGGGGTGGGAACGGGGGAGGCTGCAGACCGGATCCAGTCGTCAGGCAGCTGCAGAGAGACTGAACGCTTCTGCAAGAAATTCTTCCTCCTGATTACACACAATAAAGACATCACTGCTATTTCTTAGTTTCAAACAGTTAAACTAGAGTTTTCTGCTGTTGGTTATAGCTCATAGAGCAAACGTTAGGAGAATCGTCAATCCAACTCCTACCTTTTAACAGACTTCTCAGACTGCTCCTCAGCCAGCTCCTTCTGCAGCGCCCTCTCCCTGTCCTCATGCAGGCCAATCGGACAGTCCTCTGGGACCGTGAACAATGACAGAGCATCCTTGTTGTCTTCTTTTTTCAGGGCAGAGGCATACACCTTCTCTGCCATCAAGCGCACCCTCTCATCGGCGTCATTCATTGACATCTTCTTGAAAAGCCGCGGAATTTCTGGGGAAAGGTTGGACTCAGTGAGGTTTTTTTTTTGTTTTTCCTGCCAGTAAATCTAAAATCTAACTAAGACATGTGTCTATTGAGAAGATTCAGGAAAAAAATGGTAAGAATAATACATAAACCTCCTTGTTGTGCACCATCCAACAAATTATTCATAGAGAATATGTATTGTGTTTTTTAAAAATGTCTGCAAGAGGAAATATTTAAGAACTATAAAGTAACAAATTGAACATGGGTATGAATGAATAAGTTGGCATCATTTGAGTTAGTATGTTGTTCCTTTATGTCTTTCCTTTGATCTTGTTTCATGACTGATCTGTAGATCAGTATACAGGATAGGCACGTAATAAGACTTGGCTTCAGCCTATTCCTTTCCCTTTTCGGTTACAGAGATTGTAATTTCTTTTGTATGTGGCTGAAAACTAAACGTGTCATAATTCATAAAGGGCACTGAAAGAAAACATTTAAACAGGTGAGAATGAGGCAGGTCAACACAGCGCTTTGGGATTTTTGGCAACATAGTGTCATGGTCTGCATCTTCCTTATGTGTCTCCTGATGTTTCTCCATCCCTCTCTAGATTCCCTTCTGTGTCTCATAGCGCCCTCATGTGTCCTTTGTCTGTGTCTCATTTATGTGTCTTCTGTTTGTAGGCCTTCATAGCATTCCCTCAGGTCCGGTGTTCATTTAGTCATCCTCAGCCCCTTCCAGTTGTAGCTCCAGCCTCTTGTTCCCCAGCTCAGTGTGTGTGTGTGTGTGTGTGTGTGTGTGTGTGTGTGTGTGTGTGTGTGTGTGTGTGAGTGTATGTTTGTGTTAGTGTGTGTATGTGTGTGTGAGTTTACGTGTGTCAGTGTGTGTATGTGTGTGTATGCGTGTGTGTGTGAGCTCTTTCCTCTGTCTTGAGATAATTGTTGTTTAGTTTTGTGTTTTAGGTTTATTTGCCCTCCTCTCTTTCTGTTTTCCCATTTAGTTAAGTATACTCACCTGTCTTCCCTCCAGCCCTCACTCCACACATCTGCTGCCATTTTCCCTAATTACTCCTCCCTTTGTATATAAGCCCTGTCTTGTCTCTGTCTTGTGTCGGTCCATTGTGGTAATTCTGTCAGTCTCAGCGTTCCACCTCTCTAGTATTACTTGTGCTTCTCGCGTCTCTGTTTGATTTCTAGTTTTTGGGTTTTTGGACATTTCTGGACTTTTGGCTCCCTGCCTTGGATTTATTCTTTTGGTTCATCCTTCAAAAATAAAGGATTTTCTTTAAATTATCTCCTGCCTCATGTCATCTTGGGTTCCTGCATTTTGGGTCCTACCATCCTCGTATCGTGACAGAATGGACCGACCAACCAGGACCCCGCAGACCCAGATGTACCGGTACGATGGAGATCCTGAATCCTGTTGGATTTTCGTTTAGGATTGTGCAGACTGCCTGGACTTGAATTCATCAGAATTCAACAAGGTGTCCTTCATGGTGCATTGCCTGGGAGGTAAAGCCCTGTGGTGGGCCACCAGCAATTTCTGCTCTTCACCCCATTTAAGAGGTTTCTTTTTGGATTTTCGCTAAGAACCTGTTCGTATCCTTCGGTTCCACACCACCACTACCTTCCATCCACATCTCCACGATCCGGATATCTCCAGCCTCCTACCCTCACCCGGTCCTGACGGCGCTACCTATCCATCTCCGGTGGGCTGTCACCACTCATCTTCTTCTGTGTCTGCCGGCGTCATCTCCTCAACTCCGATGAGCCAAATCACTCCACGCAGACGTCATCGCCATCACCAGCAGACTCCTGAGGCCAGAGCTGTGCCGCCTGTCCAAGAGGCCCCTGCTCTGCAACCTCAGCCCGAGCCCCTCCCATTAACCAGCAGATCATCCGCTCGTTGTAGACGTCACCACCATCACCAGCAGTCTCCCGAAGTCAGAGCTGCGCCACCTGTCCAAGAGGCCCCTGCTCTACAGCCTAAACCAGAACTCATACAACCATCTGTAGCCAGAGTTGTGCCGCCCCCAAGAGGCCCCTGCTCTGCAGCCCGAGCCAGAACTCCTGAACCCGTCAGACGCCAGAGCTGTGCCGCCTACCCAAGAGGCCCCTGCTCTGCGACACGCGTCTGAGCTTCATCTGCCATCTCTGCATCCAGTTCCAATGGTGGTCTCAGAGGAGGCATCGTATCCTGCTTCAGCGGTGGTCCCGGAGGACGCATCGCATCCTGCCTCAGCGGTGGTCCCGGAGGACGCATCACATCCTGCTTCGGCGGTGGAAGACGCACAGGCTCCGGTCCAGCCCATCCAAGAGGCTCCGGTCCAACCAGTCCACGAGGCTCCGGTCCAGCCAGTTCCCGGGTCGTAGTTTCCTGTTCCCGAATTGGAGTCCCTGTCTCAAGTCTCGAAGTCCCCACAAGTGTCTACGTCCCCAGTGTTCCTGTCTCCAAAGTCCCCACAAGTGTCTACGTCGCAGTGTTCCTGTCTCCACAGTCCCCACAAGTGTTCCTGTCTCCACAGTCCCCACAAGTGTTCCAGTCTCCACAGTCCCCACAAGTGTTCCAGTCTCCACAGTCCCCACAAGTGTCCCAGTCTCCACAGTCCCCACAAGTGTTCCAGTCTCCACAGTCCCCACAAGTGTTCCAGTCTCCACAGTCCCCACAAGTGTTCCAGTCTCCACAGTCCCCACCAGTGTTCCAGTCTCCACAGTCCCCACCAGTGTTCCAGTCTCCACAGTCCCCACCAGTGTTCCAGTCTCCACAGTCCCCACCAGTGTTCCAGTCTCCACAGTCCCCACCAGTGTTCCAGTCTCCACAGTCCCCACCAGTGTTCCAGTCTCCACAGTCCCCACCAGTGTTCCAGTCTCCACAGTCCCCACCAGTGTTCCAGTCTCCAGAGTCCCCACCAGTGTTCCAGTCTCCAGAGTCCCCACCAGTGTTCCAGTCTCCAGAGTCCCCAGCAGTGTTCCAGTCTCCAGAGTCCCCAGCAGTGTTCCAGTCTCCAGAGTCCCCAGCAGTGTTCCAGTCTCCAGAGTCCCCAGCAGTGTTCCAGTCTCCAGAGTCCCCAGCAGTGTTCCAGTCGCCAGAGTCCCCAGCAGTGTTCCAGTCTCCAGAGTCCCCACAAGTGTTCCAGTCTCCAGGGTCCCCACAAGTGTTCCAGTCTCCACAGTCCCCACAAGTGTTCCAGTCGCAGTCCCAGTCTCAAGAGTTCCGGTCTCAAGAGTCCCCTGTGTTCCCATCTCCAGAGTCCCAGTCTCAGTCCACGTCTCCAGAGTTCCAGCCCCTGTCTCCAGAGACCCTTCCTTGTCCTCTGAAGTCCCATCCTTGTCCTCCTCCTCCAAAGCCCCCGATCCCCAGAGTTTCCTGTTCCCGGCTCCTGACTCCCCATCGCCAGCCCCCTAGGCTTACCTGGTCCCGCCTCCTGGTTCCCCGTCGCCGGCCCCCTAGGCTTCCCTGGTCCCGTCTACTGGTTCCCTGTCGCTGGCCCCCAAGGCTTCCCTGGTCCCGCCTCCTGGTTCCCCGTCACCGGCCCCCTAGGCTTCCCTGGTCCCGCCCCCTGGTTCCCCATCGCCGGCCTCCTAGGCTTCCCTGTTCCCTTCTCCTGGTCCCCTGACGCCGGCCTCCCAGTGTCTCCTGTTCCCTCCTTGCCTGCCCTTTTTGGGTTGTGTTTTGTTTGTTCCCTCCTCTCCCTCCCCCTGGTTTTCTCGTGTCCTGTGTCGTCTTGTCTTGTGCTTGCTGTTGTTTGTTCGCATTTGGGCGTCTGGTATCCGCCCCTTGGGGGGGGGGGGGGGGGGGGGTACTGTCATGGTCTGCGTCTGCGTCTTCCTTATGTGTCTCCTGATGTTTCTCCATCCCTCTCTAGATTCCCTTCTGTGTCTCATAGCGCCCTCATGTGTCCTTTGTCTGCGTCTCATTTATGTGTCTTCTGTTTGTAGGCCTTCATAGCATTCCCTCAGGTCTGGTGTTCATTTAGTCATCCTCAGCCCCCTCCAGTTGTAGCTCCAGCCTCTTGATCCCCAGCTCAGTATATGTGTGTGTGTGTGAGTGTATGTTTGTGTTAGTGTGTGTATGTGTGTGTGAGTTTACGTGTGTCAGTGTGTGTATGCCTGTGTGTGAGCCCTTTCCTCTGTCTTTAGATAATTGTTGTTTAGTTTTGTGTTTTAGGTTTATTTGCCCTCCTCTCTTTCTGTTTTCCCATTTAGTTAAGTATACTCACCTGTCTTCCCTCCAGCCCTCACTCCATACACCTGCTGCCATTTTCCCGAATTACTCCTCCCTTTGTATATAAGCCCTGTCTTGTCTCTGTCTTGTGTCAGTCCATTGTGGTAATTCTGTCAGTCTCAGTGTTCCACCTCTCTAGTATTACTTGTGCTTCTTGAGTCTCTGTTTGATTTCTAGTTTTTGGGTTTTTGGACATTTTTGGACTTTTGGCTCCCTGCCTTGGATTTATTCTTTTGGTTCATCCTTCAAAAATAAAGGATTTTCTTTATATTATCTCCTGCCTCGTGTCATCTTGGGTTCCTGCATTTTGGGTTCTACCATCCTCGTATCGTGACACACAGCACATTTATTAGACTGCAGAAGCTATTTCCTGTTGTTGCACGCTGCACCTCATCAATTGGAAGGGATCAAGTATGACACGCCTTAAAGATAAAATAACATTATCTCCGTTACAGCAGTAAAAAACACAAACCACAAAGGTGTGTGTGTGTGTATGTGTGTGTGTGTGTGTGTGTGTAGCAGGTGGTTGTTTTTCCTCGCTGTCATTTGTAAACATGTCCTGAGAGGTGGGCTCATGTTTCTGCACTTGCTACACATTACAGTCAACACGTTTAATCGCCATTCTCAGTGTCCCAGCGCAACATCCTGACCTCCCAGTAAGACCATGCTGGGTGGAAAACTGGCCCATTCTGGCTACATTCTTCTTTCATCCAGAGTTGTCCTGCCTTTACTAAAGTCATCTGTACTTTGTGCCCTGTGCTAATACATGTACACTAAAGGGGCTCGTGGATGACCTGTAGCATAC